GACCAGACGTCGGTGAACGGATTGTATTCAGCAAAAACGTTGTTTGTAACATAATGTGTTGGACAGACTCAAGAATATAGGCTCAGATGAAGACCTAGGTTCCTGCCTTCGATAGCACTATTGTTTTGAAATCGAACAGCCTTGTCAAAGCGTCACTTTCGTTTGAAGCACGATGCCAGAAAAAAATATCTTACACCGTTGTTGTTACGACACCGTGGGTTACAAACGCGGTGTAAGAAATACATTTTACACCGTGGTTACAAATTCGACACCATTCCGTTCGCGGTGTAACTAAGGAAGTCGAGTTGTGAAAGACGCATTCTGCTGCGAACACTGATTTTATCCAAAGAGTGTAGAAGTTCAAATAATCTTCCTTGGTATAACTCAGAGAGTATATATGGTTAATTACTGTATCCTATCCAAAGAGTATATTATGGAGGAATACATGTCTTTAGCTTAATTCGCAACTCATGTCTGAGAGCATTGTTCTTGTTTTCGCAATTTTGCAACAGCGTGTTTTTGACACATTTCAAGACAACCTTGCCTCGCGCGTCGAGACAGCAGAGGCGGCGACCGTCAGGTCATAAGCTTCAGCAACTTTCCTGTTTCTGTGTTTTTCCCATTCAAGGGCTTAGGCGGGCAGGTACGGGGCTCACACGCCGGAAGCTTTTCACGCTGCACAGAGTGGGTGGGGTGGGGAGAGGTGAGCGGAGACATGAGCAAGAAACAAAACGTGTCATTAGGCGATTCTGTCCAGTGTGCTTGAGAAACAAAACTTTAATACTGAAGATGTGGAGGGAAGTAATGACTGTTTATCAATTTATTAACACCGACGTAAAAATAACTATAATTTAATAAAAGTCAGCTCAAAGAGAAATCAGAAAGATATTTCATGAAACATTAAAGCCAAGCTCTTGATTATTTAAAACAATAATGTATTATTATTATTATTATTAAATCTGATTAAGCACTTAAGAAATCCTCAATAAAATTATTAAAATTACCACTAAAACAAATCAGTAGTAAATTAATAATTATTGAATATAATTTCTTTAAAATGACAAAAATCTGAACATCGAGAACTCTTTTTATGTAGTGGCTGCAGTACTTTGAAGACTAACAAGGACAGAAGAAGTGCTTTCTCTCTTTCAATTAGCCACATTATCTCACTCCGAAATCGGAGGGCACGCGGCCGTGGGTCGTCAAAGGTGAACGGGATGAAAAAGGTATTTCATGCGCTGCCAAATTGCCAAAACAAAAAGTGGTGTTTTCAGACATGGGTTGTGAGTTACACAAAGAGAACTGTTCTTCCGTTAATAATCGTCGAGGGCATATCGTTTACGTATAGTAGGAAGAGAATAGGGCCTAAAGTCGATCCCTGCGGAACTCCACATGCAATGGACAAAGAATCAGAAAGGTGTTTACATAATGTACCATTATTCCAGTAAGGTACTCTCTGAGATCGTTGTTTAAGGTACGAACATAATCAATCTAGAGCAATACCACGAATTCCATACGAAGTAATTTAAGAGTAAAATGTTATGATCAATGACGTCAAAAGCTTTTGAAAGATCTGGAAATAATCCAATAGGTGCTTCGTTTTGATTCATGGATGAGGCGATATTTTTAAGAAAAGAAAATATGGCTGTTTCCGTACATTTTGATTTTTGAAACCCATGTTGGCAATCTGAAAACGCGTCATGTTTACTAAGAAATGTTTCCATTCGTATGTAAAAAAGTCTCTAATAGTTTTGAAAAAAACGACAAAAGAGAAATTGGCCGATAATTTTGAATTTCATTTCTGTTGCCTTTTTTTGAAAAGCGGCTTAATCTTAGATGTTTTAAAAATATCTGGAAAAATTCCTGTGCATAAGGATACATTAAATATATGAGTTAACGGGTGTATAATGGCGGGCGCGCAAATCTTAAACGAACAATCCGGAAATTCATCTATCCGGACGAATATTTATTTTTTAGTCTGCTGATTATTTTGAGAATTTCCACCCACACACCAACGCAAACGTCCACACACAAACCAACCGAACAGGCTAGCGAGCGCAAAGGAACAAAGACATGTAGAGTTGCGCAACCTGGCTCACAGGTAAACAAGGTCTTTCCCACTGAGCCCATCAAAAAGGTACTGATTTTAGTAGATAGCCATGGGCGACAAATCTCCTCCCTACTCAGTGGGAAACTCCCAACCAATTTCTGTCACGGGTGTGTTTAAACCTAATGGGAGGTTTGCGACGTGACCAGTGAGTTGGACACCCACACAAAAACTCTCACCAAATGGGATATAGTCATCATCATAGGAGGGCAGAATGATATCAATTTAGGTGGTCGCTTTACACCTGAACAACATGTTGACAAACTACAATGTGCCGCCCAAAATACGAACATTATAGTCTCGACTCTAAACTTCTGGTTCAACAAACCAACACTGTTCGAAGAAATTAAACACGCAAACAACCAATTGAAACTGCATCTGAGAGACACACATGTTAAATTATTGGAGCTAAACTTTCTCTCAGAAAAACACTTCACCCGGCATGGTCTTCACCTGAACCTTGTCGGAAAACATGCACTCGGTAGCGAGCTTGCAAAACACATCCTTTCAGAACCTCGGCACTGTCCTGCCCAACACCCATTCCCACCCTCGTCTCCTAGTGCTCTTCCATCCTCCGGTTCCTCTTTGGAGCCAATTATCTTATCCCCTTAACAAATCTCTGTACTACCTCTCCCATTATTGATTTCTCTACATTCGTTGCCCCTCCTTCCTCATCTCCTGTCACTGCGGGGGCTCGATACTTCCTTCAACCATGCACTCGAGTTAAAAATGAGATAAAAAGCAACTGCAGTTAAATGCAGCAGAAAAACATCCGTGTAGGTACATGCAAAAATTCAAATAATGCATCATAATGTGCAATCTTTTTCAAATAAAATTGAGTATATCGAGGCAGCATTACAGTGTGATGTAGGTGAAATAGATGTTTTTTGCTTTACCGAACATTGATTGTCTCATAATGATCTAAACACCCTCCAAATTCCTAGTTTTTACCTTGCAGGATCATATAAAGCGAGGGAATCAAATAAGGACCCTGCTTGCGGAGGTTCGTGTATTTACGTAAGAAATGATATTTATTCTATCTTCTTGTAAGAATTCAAGCAGTTGAAAAAGTTTTTGAAGTAACAGTCTTACTACGCCTTACTACGCTCAAAACTATTTTACTTTGCATCTTTTTTTTTTATTTTTTTTTTTAAACTTTGCATCTACAGACCTCCAACAAAGCGAGCTTTAGATAATTTCATTTTCTAAAAAAATCTAGAGATAACTCAGAACAAAATTAGTAATCTATCGTTTATATCCATTGTTTTATGTGGAGATTTCAACATTGATTTTCTGAGCGAGTCCCACAAAAGAGAGCAGTTTCTCAATTTACTGCAATATTTTAAGTTAAATATTACAGTGAATGCACCAACACGGAATACATTTTCATCACAAGAAGCAATAGATCAAATTATAATTAACAAAACAACAACTAGATATGAAATAAAATCTACTAATCTAGGCCATGATGAACAAATTCTTACAATTACTAATAACATGAACACGCATGTGCAAATCATTCACTAAAGTTAACTTAAAATTATTTACGGAGTACTTGCTGACACAGTTGGGACACAGTTTATAACGCTGTTGACACAAATGAAAAATATAATCTATTTTTATCAAAGCTTTCATTTAACTTTAACTCAAGCTTTCCTCTCAAAATGAGAAAATTAAGTATTTCACGGAAAAATAATACTTGGATCACACCAGGTATTAGAACATCGTGTAAAAACAAACGCACGCTTTACTGTATTTCTAAACATCATAACATATCTCCCGGTTCTCATGTCTACTTTCGAAAATACAAAAGAATTTTAAGGAAAGTAATAGTTCAGGCAAAAATAATGAAAAAGAATCAGGATATTTTGAACGCTAGAAACAAAACTAAAGCAATGTGGAATATTGTAAAAAATACATCATCTCGATACTTAGTAGAGAATGTTGTTTTAAAAGATAATGAAAGAGAAGCCAGTAATCGGGAAAAAGTCTCTTCAACCAACACTTTTCTAGAATTGTAGCTGAACTCATGAAGGGACTAAAACCGCAAAATTCAACATCATTACCTTCCCAAAAAAATTTCGACACGATGTTTATTTCCGAAACTTCTCCGAACGAAATCTGACGAATAGTTAGTAAATTAACAACTAAATATCCATCTGGTTTAAATGAATTTCCGGAATGTTTATTGAAAACTGGTGCCTTTATATATCCGTTAACTCACATTTCAATGCTTGTTTATGCACAGGAATATTTCCAGATATTTTCAAAACAGCAAAAATTAAGCGACTTTTTAAAAAAGGGAGCAAAAATGAAATTCCAAATTAGTGGCAAAATTATCTTTTGTCAGGTTTCTCAAAAATAATAAATTTCTATACGCGAATGGAAACTTTTCTCAGGAAAAACGAAGCGTTTCAGACTCACAATACGGGTTTAGAAAATCAAAATCTACCGAAACTGCCATTTTATTTCTTAAAGATGTTGCTTCATCAATGGACCAAAATGAAGCACCCCATGGAATATTTTTTAGAGCCTTCGAAAGCTTTTGACGTTATTGACAATAACATCTTGCTATCAAAATTACGTTATGGAATTCGTGGTATCGCCCTAGATTGGATAACCTCGTACCTTAAACGTCGATCGGAAAGAGTAGAAATACCGTACTGATGCGAAAGAACATTATCTACTTATCTTTCCAAGAATTTACCATATGAAGACGGGGCTCAGGTTCAGAGTTAAAAAAATCGCACTATAGATGAAGTACCGTGCTCCTGAGCCTACCGCTTTAATGCTCATTCTGGCCACAGAGTACAGTGTTGTCGATTTTAACACCTGTACCTTATTATAGATAGTGCTACATATACTCTTTGGTGCTACACGAGTTTCCCCTCCTATTCTATGGATGTAACTCCATGGAGTAAACAACTTCCGACCATGTGCTGCGTGTTGCGCTGTGTTGCTCGTGTTGCTTCGTATCGCACTCTGCGGAATTAGACGTCGGTTGTTGCGTGTGTTGACATAAAATTGCTTGTACATTTGTATTAGTGATTGGCAGTCATAGTGTTTAAATAACTTAAAATTTGGATTGTGTTGGTTGTGAGGACAGTTTTTACAAAAAAAGTGGCTGAGGTGCACAGATTCGTGTAAATAAAGAATATTCCTAACCTACATACTACCCTGTTTTAATTAAAAGTCAATATCATAAAATGGTTAGGAAAAAATTGGATAATCGAATAAGAGTCCTAATTGAAAATGGGATGATTGAAGGACACAGAACAATGTTTGTTGTTGTAGGGGATAAAGGAAGAGATCAAGTGAGAACACTGTGTAAAATAAGCTTATTAAACTGTTTTGCCTGGAAATGAAATAATAATTTTAATGAAATGGGTTAATTTTTGCTTTTAGGTCGTCATTTTACATCATATGTTGTCAAAAGCAGCTGTGAAAGCCAGACCAAATGTTTTGTGGTGTTACAAAAAGGAATTGGGATTCACCAGGTATTCCTTTTAAACGTTCAACATCAAATCCGTTCAATAATTAAGAAATGAAAGAAATTTTATTGTTTTATTGAAGCATCTAGATATGTCTTGTGAACAGTAATCGACATCAAATAGAAATTAACTAACCTTCTAATAGTCTTACACACTCATAAAACTGTCTTTCTATACCCCACTGTATGAAAAAAAAAATGTTATAGATTGATTAGAAGATTTTCCTAAGTGGTCATTGAATGTTCATTACTCTTTGCTGTAATCACTCAGTAACTTCGCGTTCCTTTGTACAGATATCTTAATGGTATCATTCAATTATTATTATATTTTTTTACAGAGTTTACAAATAGAAGTTTCCCGATGACTATTGTGTTACATACTTTGTGATGAAAACCATAATTTGTGATTTGACCTATTGGATCTGTTTTGTTCTTGAATGGCTTTTTTCATTTTGAATTGATCGTTGCTCCAGTAGTATAGAAATCACTCTACATTTATATTGTTTTTCTCATGTGTTTACTAGTGGTATGTCATGGGGTGGAATCAGAGACGAAATTTGGGAGGGGAAATTCAAAATGTGTTTGTTGAATAATTCATAATACTGATTTTGTAAAATCTCGCAGCCTACACTCAGCTCATACTGTGCTACAATTTTATTCATTTTTATGATAATCTGAAAACATTTTTGCTTGAAAGTCTCTTGTCAAGTTAAAATGAATAGTTACTGGAAAAGTTTAGGGGGGAAATTTCTTTTATTTTTCTGCCCGTAGATCCGTGCCTGTGTGTCAGCTGCATTTGCATGAGGTGGCAATTATGGTAGTTGTAAATCTTTAATATGAAACTTCCCCTTGGCGAGTGAGTATTTAAGCATGTATAGATGGTTCTGATTTTCCTGTGCCAAATGTCTCTCTTGTGAAATGTTCTTTTATTCTTTCAACCCTTTTTAGGTCACTGCCATGTAATTTGCCCCAAATCAAATGCATTTAGTATGCAATGGTGCAATTATTCTTTCAATGAATTAAAGGCAGGTGGAAATTGGATAACTTCGTAAAATTGAAGGCATTTATTGAGCTCTTTGTAGAGGGGAATTAGTAATTCCTGTGTATCCTAGATATGGTTTATAATGATGTTGCCTGGACCTGCTGTTTTGCCATTTGTCACAGCACTTTTTATGTCTCCTGTAATCTTCCGTGTGGATGTATCTAGATCAGGGTTGTCCAACAGGCAGCCCGTGATTTTTTTTGTGGCCCGTGGAAGGTTATTAGTTAAACGTAAAAGTCCCTTTCCTCCCTGTTGGAAAAGAATATTGGGCGCCTAGCGCACATGCTCCGCTGGGCCAGCACCTTTAATGTAAAAATAGATCAAATTTAGATGTAAGGAACTTTTTCAAGTGTATTGAGAAATTGAAAATTATCCCAAAGTGTTACAAGCATTGTTCCATCATCCCCTTTTCAAGCCAGCCTGGGCAAAAGGCGAGCTCAACAGTACAGGGAAGTAAGGATCGTCCGAGTAATGAAAGTATGGCCTTGCAACTTTATTAAGGTTTTAGTTTGTGGCCCTTGAAGCCTTGCATATGACACCCCTAATACAGATCATAGCTTCTGATATTGCTTCTCCGCTGTTTGGATTTATGATGTTGGAAAGTATTGTTTGCCACCACTGGCATTGCGTATCTCTTTGTTTGCTTGGTTACTGTATCTGCCCGTTTAATGTTACAAATGGAAAGGAACTTTAACTCACCAGATGTTTTCTGGTTTCTCTATTGCATGAAATCTTGCTTTTCAATCCTTTATGATTGTGTTATATTCTTTTCTCTTTTTTGCATTCTCCTTCTGCTTACCTTCATTTTTTTGTATTCTGGATGCTTGTGTCTGTATTGTCAGCTTCTTCAAGATGTATTTGTTGTTAAACCATTGTCATCATATTGTTATTGATGTTGTTTTTCAGGATTGTGGCATTTTGTGTTAAAGGCTAGCACTTGTCTTTTCTTTTACTTGACCATCCATTTTTATTTTCTTTGACTCGTTTATTACATTATCATATCAGTTATTGTTGGTTATACTTTTCTGAATGTTTTAAGAGATTTTTCTTTTCTTTCTAGTAATTTTGACTTTGTTATGGTGAGCAACATTCCTACCAGCATGTGTTTTGTTATTGGTAGTGCCTGTACTACTGTCCTTGTATCTGTATTTGGTTCCCTCTGTAGACCAGATCTATTTCACTTGATCCATAAAAGGAATGTAATCATGTTTGGTAAATGGAGAAAAAATCTTACAATTTTAACTACTTATCTTATGATAATCAAATCAATTTCATCAATAGGTTGATGAAAATGATAAATTGGATTGTAGCCTTTTTACAGTTGTTATTAATCTTATAAATTTGAATCTCACATAAAATACTTATAATATCCCTTACACTCTTTCTTCAGGTTGCTTTCAAGACAAGCAGTACCACAATTTAAGTAAAAAGTTAAAATCGAATGTCTTATTATGAACTTTGTGGAGTTCTGAATATTTTTTGTCTTCATACAGCTTTTGACTGAAATACGAAGTTCTTGCATTTGCATTTGACTTGAGATACCAGGTCACAAGCAAATGAGATATTGTGTATTTATATAATGGAGAGATTTTTACAAGTGGTGTTGTAATGGTGGATCTTGAAATGTATTTTTGTTTTCAACCTAGAAGGTGGCCATGTTTTGAAGATTCTAGGTCGGTTGTAAGATGGTTGACTATCATCCATGTGTATAAATTTTAGATGTTCTCAACCCTTTAATATTATTTAATAACTATCAAAAATAAAACATCAAAGATTTTGAAAAATGTTTAACCAGTAATAAATAATGGAAAAAAGAAAAGAATTTCACTGCCCAGAAACTATGAGAATGCCTATATTATTTATTTTATTTTTAGTGTTCAGAACTCTAGTTTTAAATCAAGATGAGAATTTTCATTTTTAATGGAGGCAATGAGTTGTTACTGAATTCAGTAAGAGAAACATGTTTCTCAAAGCCAGAGGGATGTGTTTACCTGCTCTCTAAACTTAAATATTTACAATTGTGAAATTTTAATATGTACATTTAATTGTACGTATCGTGAATATGTACATATTCACAATATTGTAATTTTGAGATGTATAATTAATGTGTGTACAAATCATAAATATGTAGGCCTTCATAATGCACTTCAAATTGGAAAGGTAAAATTTTAAATAAATATGCAGTTATGTACCTTGACATTATTGAGTTTAAATTGCCTAGATATTCCTTTTTTTTTTTTTTTTTATATTTGGACATTAAATTACATCAAATCAATTAGATTAAATTTTCAATTAAATATTTAATTTAATTAAATTTACAATCAAATAGATTAAATTTTCCTTCAGCAGGATTGCTTCATTCCAGGGAATGGAGGAGGGACTTAAGTCTCACTAGATTTTTGATGTTAATGTCCATTGACATTTTTCATGACCTTAATATAGGTTGTTTTTATGTAAAGGTTGAAGTTCATACAAAATTACAATTGCAATAAAATGTTTAATCTGCTTTGGGATAATTACTTTTATTTATTTATTAGTAGTATTTTTTTATTTATTAGTAGTAGTTGCAGTGAAATTTGTCTGAAAGACCACCCCTCTCAATGACCAATTTTTCCTGGAACAGACACTGAAACCCATTTATTGTATGCAATTAATGCCCCTTTTATTAGACCATCCCTCTCCCCAACCGTCGACCAGCAATCAAAAAACAATAAATCATTATCACTGTTACGATATTACGACTGCTTGCTCTATTTCTGTTTCATTTCTTTTAACGAGTTGGCGATTATGAAAGTGACCTAATGTTTAATTCATAGAATTAACAGAGCCTTCCTTATCTTTCCTTCCTGGAAGAACATCAGGTGCAGTAGGATATCAATCTCAGAAGTCAGTTATTGGCTTGACCTGTAATTTCCGAGTGATAATGTTGTGCCTGGAGTCTGAGCCTCACCAAATACCCATCGCTTGAAGTGGCTTTTTGTTTTTGTAATTATTATTATGTATAATTTGTAATTAAAATTGGGTTTTGAACTTCTAAGATACAGACTGTCTTGGTGAGTCCAAATAATATTGAGTCTACACAAGAAAACTGAGGTTTGTTATGAGTAGACCGCTACTGGGAGTACAATGTAAATGAGGCGTTTACATCAAAAAGGCAAAATAAAATTTGATCAAGAGGTTTCATTTTCCATAATTCATGGTCATATACTAAAAACCTTTCATAAACATGATATTATTAGCCCTTTCCTAAACGTCTGATGTGTAGTAATAATACGTTTTCTCTCTCTCTCTCTACCTCCCTCTTTCCCTCTCTCTCTCGTCTTTTGAAAAAAAATAAGATTCCCCATATTATGTGACCATGTCTCCAAAAGCGACTTTTTTCATGGAACAGGTGGTGAACCTGTATTAAGTAATACAGGTTTTACTGTACGCTATTATTGTTTGAAAATAATTTTCATTGGTCTCTTTTGTTTTCCCTACAGTCACAGAAAGAAAAGAATGAAGGAACTGCAAAAGAAAATAAAATCAGGAAAATTAAATGTCAGTGAAGATGATCCATTTGAGTTGTTTGTTGCTTCAACAAATATTCGTTATTGTTATTATAGTGAAACACACAAAATTTTGGGAAACACCTATGGGATGTGTGTTTTACAGGTATGTTCTTTTTAATTACATATTAATAATTGCAAAATTTAAAGAAGACTAAACATGAAAAGTCAAATTTTACCCGGTTATTTTAAATGCTATTAATACTAAGTGCCTCTTTTGCCCAAAAGTTGTAATAACAGCTTTGAAGAATTGGTTTATTATAAAACGCTGAGCAATGAAGACCTTTTCTTATAAATTCTAGGATTTTGAAGCTTTGACTCCAAATTTATTGGCACGAACAGTGGAAACTGTGGAAGGTGGTGGTTTAGTTGTGCTTCTTCTTCGTTCAGTTTCTTCTCTCAAACAACTTTATACAATGACAATGGATGTTCATGAACGATTTAGAACTGAATCTCATCAGGATGTTGTTGCTAGATTTAATGAACGGTATGGAAAACATGAATATATATTACAATAATGTATTCATTAGATTAAAAAAATAATTAAATTAATAATTGGTATAAACTAATAAAAACTAATTATTGGTTTGTTCTTTAAGGTTTCTGCTGTCATTAGCATCATGCAAACGTTGTCTTGTTGTTGATGATCAACTAAATGTATTACCAGTGTCATCTCATAACTTACAAGTTGAGGCTGTGAACAGAGCTGACTTTCAAACAGTTGATCAAGAATTAGTTGATCTGAAAGAGAGTTTACGTGACACTCAACCAGTTGGTGTACTTGTAAACTGCTGCCGCACTGTTGACCAGGTATAATGACAAGAAAATAAGATGTGGATTCATTTTTCAGAATTATAACATAAGGATGAGTTTATCTGACTCATTTGTTGAATATGAGTATAGTTACATTGCAACACAATTGAATGTATCATCCCTAAAATCATTGCAAACTTTTGTAGACTCTGTTTTCCTTGTAAAATAGATTGTGTGGATCATTAATTGTCCTTTATTTTGGAAAAGACTTTAGGGTGCTCCTGTTTACACTAAGTAATTTTTTACTTTTGTGATTTTCAAAATAACAATTTGACACGTATACCAACTTACCTGTCAAAGAATATCAAGAAATTTATGATTTTTTTATACGTAACAATTGTTTTTAAGCAAATGAGATACTGTACAAGAGGTACTTATTTGCTGCAAATCTAAAGTGAATGGAAACATAATGTTCACTTGTTCAAAGTATAAAATTTGTTACTTTTAATAAAACCCAACTTTTGCTGAGCTTACTTTACTTTATTTTCAATATGAAATTTGGATTTCAATTTAGAAAAGAATAGGTTATCCATAAATTATGTAGCACAAAATCGGAGTATTTTAATACTCATATCCCATATCTCCATACACGTGCAATGAAGGCATGAATCTCCCCCCCCCCCCATGCTTGCTTCCCCCTGCCCATGTAGAAGTAAAAATAAATTATTTTACAGTTTAAACAATTGTATTAATTTTATTTGTGATATTTAGTAAATTTTTATTAGAAAGTCAAAATTAGTTGGTAGTGCTGGCTAGAACAATGAAGAATGGTGAGCGGCAAGAATTTTTGAGGGCAGGATGCATAGACAAGAAACATTCTTACTCACCTCGCAGGAGTCTCTTGTGCTAATATAATTGGATTCTGGAATATACTAGAGATGAAAATTTTCTTTTTTATCTATCACATTTAATTATTATACTATTGATGAAAAAATAATTCCTTTTATTACAAATTGTACATTATAATTTTTAAATTTATTAATACACCTCAATGTAATTTTTTAATAGTTTTAGTTTTGGTACAAGACTGACAAAGTTAATTAATCGTTATTATTATTATTTTATTTATTTACTTTTTTTAAAATTTATTTTCCCAGGCAAAAGCTGTCTTGAAATTTATTGAAGCTATAGCTGAGAAAACTTTACGTTCTACAGTTTCATTAACTGCAGCAAGAGGAAGAGGCAAGTCTGCAGCTCTTGGACTTTCCATGGCTGCTGCTGTAGCATTTGGATACTCCAACATTTTTGTAACTAGTCCAAGTCCTGAAAATTTGAAAACTCTTTTTGAATTTGTGTTCAAAGGTCAGTTGAAAATTGCATAATCTGAGAAAGCGCATGATTAATTGAATGTTCTTTATGACTGTTTAAAAATATTTTTCTAAGAGATATATATTTTTCTGTCCATTAACTATAATAAATTGATTTTTTTTATTTAAATATGTTTTCTTAAAAATTCATTTTTAACTAAAGTAGGATTACTTATTTCTATCTAGTATTCCAATTCATACTCAAATAAACTCTGTTCAGTCATATTCAAACTATATTCAATGATTATTTTCACATTTATTTCTGCTAAATCTTGGGGAATAGGTAGTGAGTGTAGAAAATAATTTGCATTCATTTCAGAAATGGCTAACTTGTAATTGGGCTGGGGTACTCCCTATTAGTTTTCCCATTCTGCTGATAAATGTTCCCATGAAAAAAATTTATTTATATTCCTAATAAGAACAATTACATTATAAAATACTTTCATTAAAATCAATTTTTTTTAATGTTAAAATTTTAATAATTAATTTTTGATGTACTTTCAGGGTTTGATGCTTTGGAATATCAGGAACATTTGGATTATGATCTTATTCAGTCCACAAATCCTGAATTTAATAAAGCAATTGTACGTGTGAATATTTTCCGGGATCACCGGCAAACAATACAGGTGAAAATATATTATTGTTATTATTATTCATTCAGAATTATATTAATTCTTACTAACAACTTCAATAGTTGAAAGCATTTTTTTTATAATTATACAATTTTTACCTTTCAGTACATTCATCCAACAGATGCAAATAGGCTTGGACAAGCAGAGTTGCTGGTTGTTGATGAAGCTGCTGCTATTCCTCTTCCATATGTCAAGAGTATGCTGGGACCATACTTGGTGTTTCTGGCTTCTACTATCAATGGGTGGGTTTCTGAAAGCTTGTAGCAGTTTGTTGTGTTGACTGTGAGACTATTTACTTGAATTAAGTTTGTTGTTTTATAATCAGTTAATGAAACATACAAAAATATCTATGATAACGAAAATTTCACACCAGATTTACTACAAAATAAGAAAGTTTCTTTCTCTTTCAAAAATTCTGATTGATTATTTGTCTGCTGAAGTGTTATTTTCTGCAACACATTTCATGGAAGTGTTCTTTGCAGAAAATTAGCAATTTTGTTTTTGCTGTGTTGATTACAGCCTCGATTATAATGTTCATCTCACTTGTCTTTCATCACTGGCCTCTAGAGGTTTTCCAATTTTTTTAGAATTTTCTGATGGTTTCAGTTTGTTTCTTTGACCACAAATTCCCCATTTTTGCCCCCACTAGTCTCAGCTATTTAATGTTTATTATTATTTGGTGCATTACCCTTGGTCATCAATGGTCATCAATTTTAGTGTTATTTCATTTAAATTTTGTGAACTAATTATGAATCTTTTGTATGAAATGTGTTCTACAGCTACGAAGGAACTGGGAGATCATTATCCCTTAAATTACTGCAGCAGTTGCGAACTCAGAGTGTACCAGTGGGAGCAAATGCTGACAAAACCAAAAACCAAGCAGCTGCAACAGGTCGGGCTTTACACGAGGTAAACTACAATGCTATTATTTATAAAGGAAAATTTTGCCTACCTTAGAAAACATAAGCGGTTAGTAGTCTAATAGAGTAATGAAAATGCATATTTTTTCTTCATATTTTGCGCCAAAAAAGATTTATTTTCAATTTTTGGTATTTAAAGTTCATTTATTAAGATCCAATTGAACTGAAATGTTTAACAACTGGAAAGGTAAGAACGAATGACTTCACTGAAACGTATCCAAATTAAATTTTTTATTACTAAGACAAAGAGCATGTGTCCAGTTTGTTGGTAAACCTAGTGCCTATGCTGGGTTTGTTTCAAGACGGCGTAAAAAGTCACTGGTAAGCCCTTGATGAGTGACTCAATAGGAGCCATCAGGGTTTTTCATTCAAATAAAGTAAAAGGTAATGAGCTTGGTTTTAAGCTTGGTGAGTTGAAACAATCTGCAAGATTCAACAAGTGTTCAGGATGAAGCAATGGTACTATACAGAATAAAGAAGTTGTGCTATCACTTCAAAGGTATCCACTCTAATGAGTGAAGAGTGGAGTCCGTTCTGATGGGCTGTCAACGTCAACAAACAAGATTGTCTTTGACCAGGCAAGTACCCTGGTGATGCAGGATAGTCAAATCACAATCGGGGAATTTGCAGATACGGGGATTGGTATTGGATCCATTCAAATATTTGTTCCATTTTCAATGAACATTTAGCCCACAAAAGGATCATGGTAAAGTTTCTTCCTAATTTCTAACAACTGAGCTGAAGCAACTTCATTTGGAGATTCCACAGGACTTTGGAGTCCTTGGACAGTGATCCTAACTTTCTGAACACAGTGATCATAGGGTGAGTCTGGGTTTGTGGGTATAATCCAGAAAGCAAGTTCCAGTCATCACTATGCAAGAATGCTATGTTTCTGTGGTCCAAAGAGCAATTCAGGTTTGCAGAAATGTCAATGACCTACAGACCATCATTTTTTACTCTTAGAGGCATGTTTCATCATAAGTACCACTGTGCATTTTTACAAACGCTAAGTCCCTAAGCGCTACACAAGAGCAATGCTCAACACAGAAGTCTGCCTGATCCCCCTTGCGCCCCAGAATGGTCACTGTCAAGCCAAAAGACAGTATGTCAGTGCTCCATGTGAGAAAAGGCATGCATGGAAGAGGTGAAGCACTGAATAAGCAAGGGTGAAAGGGAAAGCGAGAAGGCAGCAGGAAAAAGAGGAGATGGGGACTTGGATCGAGGCACTAGAACAAGGCAGGCGTGCAGCTAGGTCAGTGCTACTCATACGAAAAAAGAATGCGGGCGATTGGTATGGTGAGTTTGTGCAAGTGTGGGAAGATCTGTTCCCCTCCGCAAATGCATAAGTCATTTGGAAATTGTTAACTTCCCGAAACTGTCTGTAGTAAACTTAATTCTGTTCATAAAAATCCAGTAGTAATAAGCCAACATAGAGAAAAGTTATATGCTTTTAACTATACACCCCTTGATATGTAACCACTAGGTGAATAGCAATATGTTATTCCTAATGTACTTTGTTCTCTTCAATATTGTAGGTTGCACTGAATGAATCAATCAGATATAAGCCCGGTGATCATGTAGAAAAATGGTTGACTGATCTGTTATGTTTAGACGCAACTGCTGTGCAACCAATTTTTTCTGGTTGTCCGCCTCCAGAAACATGTGATCTGTACTATATTAACAGGTTAGTCACTTGAATGCTTTTTGTTTGTATTTCTTTATCTCTATTATATATTGAAATCGTAAATATTTATTACGTTTTTTTTTTTTAATACAGAGACACTTTATTTTGCTACCATAAAGCATCAGAGGCATTTCTTCATAGGTTGGTAGCACTGTATGTTGCATCCCATTACAAGGTACTCTAAATTTAATTTTCTTTTATTTGAAATAATTTCAAAGAAATATTATGAAAGTACATTTTTAGACAAAGTTATTTAAAATATTATGGTTGACGTTTGTTGAGGGTGATTTTGAACTGATAATGAGAAAGGACTGAAGTAGTTCTGTCACCTCTCAAATATTTTCTTAGTTATTATATGTTTGATCACAAAGGACAATTACTTCATGCCTTATTCACAACCCTACTTGCACCATTGTTACATGGTTGATGAAACAAGCCATTTCATCTGTTGTAAAAGTGCAAAGAGAGGACGTTAAGTTAGAGGACGTTGAGTTAGTTAAGTTGGTGGTTAAGATGGGGGGGGCATTTTTAATTTATTTTATTTTAAGATTGGGAATGAATAAATGTGAGCCAAGTCAGACATTCCAAATTGGAAAAGTATTAAATGGTGATAATTTTCTTTGACCTCATCAAACAAAAAGATTTGAAGTTGTTCTAATAATTTTCATTATGATTTGACAGAATAGCCCAAATGATCTTCAAATGATGTCAGATGCCCCTGCACACCATTTATTTTGCCTACTGGGACCTGTAGATCCTAGTAGTAAAACTTTACCAGAAGTTCTGGTAGTTATACAGGTACATTTTCAAATTGCTTGTTTATGGTTTTAAGAGTTTAAGGTGTTAGTGTTTACACAATGTATATTTTTGGAGGAATTTCCCAGTGCTTTGGCAAGAATTTATAATACCAGTGCAACAATTTTTACACATCATTATAGTTTCCTTCTGATTTAAATGAAACCTTTTTCTGTAATTAGTAATATCATGATATTTAAATAAACTTAATTTATGTAATACTTTTTGTAAGGGACCTGATGACCTATTAAATAGAGAAGATGAAAAATAATTACTAGTAATAATTTTGTTATGTTTCTAAATAAAGTTCTAGAGAATGCCCTCTATTTTTTCTATGAATAAAATCTGTAGTTTGTTTACCAATGAAAATAAATTTGTGTTTGAGAAAATTAGATACGTTTTGAGTTAATTTAATTTCTTTGTGTTTCAAGTTTTCTGTAGGTTTTTACATTTGTGCTTCTCATTAAGATCTCATATCAAGAAACTACTCTTCATTATGTGTAGGTGTGTTTGGAAGGCAATTTGTCTAGAAGCTCAATATCTGATGGCCTTTCACGTGGCCAAAGAGCAGCTGGTGATTTAATACCTTGGACAGTTGCACAGCAATTTCAGGATCAAGATTTTCCTTCTTTATGTGGAGCAAGAATTGTGAGAATAGCAACTCACCCAGATTATATGGGGGTAAGCAGTTAATAAAGTTCAAATATTTTGTTTACTTGTATTTGAAAAATTAAAAATAAGTATTTTTAACAGATGGGTTATGGAAGTCGGGCATTACAATTGCTGAAGAAATACTATGAATTTAAAATACCTTGTATTGATGAAAATCTTCCTGAAAGTACTATAGAAGCTGTTGCTGAGGGTGAAGTAGGATTACTGGAAGAAACAATTGGTAAGTGTAATGTGACTGAAAAAAATTGTTGTTTGGTTCAATACCCAGTTAATGGTATTTGAAAGTACGTTGAAAATGTTCCGATACTGTAGTGGCTAAGGCATTATTGTTTGACATTATATTTCATCATTACATATAGATTGTAATATCCTTGTATAGTAATTTGTAATATTGTAGATTGTAATATCCTTGTATAGTAATCTGCATATATCTGTCACTTACGGTTTAACCCTTTCTGGAATAGTTTGGGGCAAGCAAGGTGTCATACAACATGTTTCCGTATGTTGGCGAGGAACTGACCATTTTTGACAGAACAATCTGAAAGCAGTGAATTTTTTACAGAAAAACTCCTATTATAGGGCCCTCATAAAAAACAAGTGGAAGAATCATGTTCCTTTATACAGTAAATTACTTCCTCAAATACATGGTGTAGGCAGAACCCATGTTTTGTGGGTCCTTGATACCAAAAAATCAATTGACTGCAAAACCTCTGTCTGTCCATTTGTGGTCAACACAAGCGCCTAAACTGTTAAGCCGATTTTCTCCAAAATTGATATTCCCCAATGTAACTGACAGAACTCAAGGCTTTCGTAGTTTCAGACAATTTGATTGTTGAGGGTGCTTTAAATAAAACCTCACCATTTTTCAAAATTTTCTTGAAAATGGCACGGAATTTTTATCAAACTTTGTCCTCAGAGAGCATGAAGAATGCTTAAGAGAATGGTGCAGGTCTCGTGTTTGTTGAAATCCTAGATTTTTTTGAAAATTGCAAAAGTGCTATTTTTGGGAGGCATCTTCCTATTACCCTAACATTGAAGACAGAGATCATGTTCCTGAATGAAATCTGTTCCTTAACGACAGATCTTGAAGTAAGGTCATGTACAATTTTTAAAAAATGTGAGTAGTTTTTGCATCATTTTGCGTGAAATGTAGGATTTTTTAAAAAATTTTATGAAACAATTTTTTTCTAAAACAGCACCAAATTGGAACTTTAAATTATCTTCTCACATGTATCAAAGAGCAGTAAAAAATATAGTGCTAGTTCCATTTTCAATGATCTCTCTTTTTTTCAAAAGTTGCAAAAAGTCAATATTTAAAACAAATAAATTTGTAGTTAAGAGATTTTTGCCTTAGACAAAGTTTGGTCTGAAAAATCAGCTCTTTTAAAAAGGTCATGTACAATTTTTTGAAGAAATGAGTTTTCACGTAATTTGTGCTTAAAATTCATATAATTTCTAAAAATATTATTTTCTCAAAAAACACTCTAAATTTTCTCCTCGTATGCATCAAAGGATTTCAAAAAAATTGTGCTAGCCCCATTTGCTGCAAACTTCCATATTTTCAAAAATAGCAGAATATTAACATTTCAAAACAACAAAATAGAAGATATGGAGTTTGGCTGTAAACAAAAATTGTTCTAAAAAATCAGCTTGTTAAAGAAGGTCATGAACAACATTCCAAAGAAACAGTTTTCATGTAATTTCTGGTTGAAATTAATGCATTTATAAAAATAACATTATCTCAAAACTGGATAATTTTTTTCTTTAAAGTATTTCAAAAAAAAGAAAGAAGGAGAGCGAAGAAGGAATATTAAAAAGAATGGTGTAGGCCTCATTTTCATTGATCTCTCTGAATTGTAAAATCTTGCTTGTTAAAAAAAATATTGGGATGAGAAAATTAGATTTTTAAGCATTGGTTAGAGTTTGAAAGTCACACAGTTTCTTTGGCGTGGAGATAAGGGGCATGGCAAGTGAACTTGGAACATCTAAGTTCAAGTGTGTGTGCGTAAAAAATGTTTGCTTGTTTAAAACACTGGCAGGTTCATGTAGTGGTATAGTATAGCGGATCAGTTAGAAATAACGCAAGAAAATATGTGATGTTGTAGCACCCCTAGCTTATTTTGTATCCTTCCAGAACATACTTATCTTGCATCTCGTATATTTATAAAATTTGGACAGCAATAGCAACAGTATTTGTGGGAATGCTGGAGTATGCTAAGAAATTATGTAGATCCCTTCCAGCCCTTATTATTATTATTATTATTATTATTATTATTATTATTATTATTATTATTATTTTATTCTAACTAAAAATTCTCTTGAAAATATTTTTAACACATCAGAAACACAACCTATGCTAATATATATCGTAGATGTTAAAAACCTATTCTTGTCTCATTAAAAGCTACTCCTCAATGGGACATTTCATTCATTGTTGCCACATTCATTCTATTGAATGTGAGATGGAGAGGAGAGTGTATTTGACATAACCACAAGAAATATACATGTTTGGCTTAGAATGGCATATTACTTGCATAGCATGTGAATGTGGTGGTCCTGCCCTTGAGATGGCATAACGGCCCGCACAAGTGGAGGTAGAGGGACGAGAGGGAGAAAGGGGATGTATCTCTAGGGTGGTGCCTTATACGAGGATGGCCTGCGATGTAGAATGCAGGGGGCTTCTCAGCTGCTTCATCAACCTAATGCCCCACTGCAAGAAATCAGGTCACAGCCTGCCCATCCACATTGTATTTGATATTTCAAATTATTTAATTGTCCCAATGCCAGTTTTGGGCAGATAAAATAATTAGTAGTGTTAAGACAACATTTACTTTCTCAAATTATTTGTAACCGTTATGTAAAATTATAATGTTGCAACTTATGTCTTTCTACATAATTCTTCAACCGTCTACTGAAAAATTCTCGTGAGCAAAAGAAGTGCAGGAATTCACAATTTTTGGAAGTTCAGAGCTTTTAATGAAAATTGGACTAAAGTTTTGAGCTTTTTTCAAGGAAAAAATTGATTTGATTTATTAGGTCAAAAAGCAGTAGAAAATGTACGTGACATATGAAGAAGAAAATCTACTCCACACGTTTTCTTGTACCCTTTCCCAGTATTGGAACTATAAACAGTTTAAAGATGAATAAAAGTTTTAAAAAAATAATAAATTTGAAAAAAACATGAGATTAGCAACATTTGTTGAAACTAGACATTTTTGTTCCCAAGTTATAGAAAACTTATTTGCATCGGCAAACGAACTCCAGATTTGATTCCTCTGTATTGCCAACAAAAAAAAAAAAATAACCCCAATCTGTACTCCTACCACTACAAGCCAAAGGAGAGTTCAATAAACATGCCCATGGTGGAGCTACATTTATGTCCAGAAGCAAAACAAGGGGCCATCCAGTATTTGCTCAATGAATCAGGGAAACTGGATAACAACCTGATTGAGATGAGGGTCATTGAAGCAGAAGTGCATTACATGTTTGTACATTACTTGTTACTTGTTTGTAATTTAAAGAAAACAATGTTCCGGGAGTCGAATTTCAAGGAATCCAATTTCAGCCTTTGGAGTAGAAAATCAGGACAATAACAACAAGTCTGCCAATACTGCAGCCAAACCCCGCAATTAACTAACAGAAATATTTATGCATGAAAACTTGTAAGATTTAGGGAAGCTTCATTTATTACCTCAAGAGATTATTTGGAATATCTGCATCCACATATGAATGAAATTATATTATTAAAAAAGCTTCGAGTTCAAGAGAAATACAAATGTTGCACTTTTGAACATTCAAAAGTGTTAACAAAAATCATATAGATACAATATTTATAAGCTTAAAGAAGAAGTTGTGTCTACCCTTAAGCAAGTAAAGAATGGTAAATCTTCTGAACCAGATGACACTCTTCAAAATGATAAAATGAGCGTCTGTCACAATTATAGGAATGATATTAGATCTTTGCAACCTGATATGGAAAAAAAAATAAATGGCAAGTGGATTGGCAGAGAACGATTTTCATTCTCTTACCAAAGAAAGGAGAAACTCGAGAATGTGCTCACAATAGAACGATAGCAGTGTCTAGTCATGTAAACATGATCATGCTGAAAATAATAGACTAGAACTTTTTATAGAAAGAGAACTGTAAATAGAACAAGCTGGTTTCAGAAAGGGCAGGGAACCAGGGATCAGATAGCAACATAAGATAGATAATGGAAGAGAGCAAACAATTCCAAAAGAAACTATATTTATGTTTTTTTGACTATTCTAAAGCATTTGACTGTGTGGACCATAATCTGTTATGGATTACTTTAAAAAAAATGGGCATAATAGGGTACACAAAAATTCTATTTAGACAACTATGTACAGAACAAGAAGTGAGGTTGCAATTAGCAGAAAAAACATCTGATTGGTTTAAAGTTAGCAAGGGAGTTAGACTAGGATGCATTCTCTGCCCCGGATTGTTCAATCTGTTCTCAGAAATGATCATGAGAACAACAAAATTGGATGAAATGAATGTTTGGGTAAAAATTGGAGGAGGTCACTGTATTAACAATATTTGATATGTAGATGATGCTACGCTACTTGCAGAGGACAGGAGAGGTTTAGATAAACAATTAGGGAGAGTGGCAAGAAAGTCAGATAGCAGGACTAGCTGAATTTAAAAAAGATAGTTGTAATGACAACAGACCAGGAAGAGAAAATACAGATAAATGATGAAATAGAAACTATTAAGTAAAATTTCTGGGAGTAATTATAACAAAAGATGGATGATATACAAGGTCTGTCACAAAAGTAAGTTAAATGACCTTACGCCCCCGAAGCAGGCCACTAGCAAAGCGTGCCAAGTGACGTGAATGATTGTGTGGGGTTTAGGGAAGCCAAGGACAAACATGTCAGTTGTCTGCAGGCTCTTCCACAGTGTGCATCGCTGCTAGTTTGAACCCTTGTGTTAGTGACGCGTCGGAATTTCAAGATGCCACGTTTCAAGGACCAGCGTTAAGCAAAAAATTTTGTGTTGCGCTCAAGAAAACGGGCACTGAGACCGTTGCCATGCTAAGGGAAGCTTATGGCGATAGCACCATGTCCAACAATATGGTTTACCGCTGGCACAAGATGTTTCGAGAAGGCAGAGAGGACGCCAAGGATGAAGACCGCTTTGGACGCCCGTCAACATCACATTCCGATCAAAATGTGAAGAAAGTGAGGGACATGCTGAACTCTAATCGACGCCTGAGTATTAGAATGCTGGCAGATGAGTGTAATATCCCTAAAAGTACTGTGCATCGCATTGTTACCGCAGACGTGGGCATGCGGAAGATCTGTGCGAAGATGGTCCCCAAGGTGCTTTCCGATGAACAAAAGGCTACTTGTGCAATGATTTCGCGTGACCTCTTGGAGCAGTGTGAAAACAATCTGAATTTTTTGGATAATGTGATTACCAGTGACGAAACATGGGTTTTCGAGTATGACCCGGAGACCAAAAGACAAAGTGCTGAGGGCACACGCCAGCTTCCGCTGCCCAAAAAGCTGAGGAGAGCAGTCCCATGTAAAGGCCATGCTTCATTGTGTTTTCGACAAAGAGGCATTGTCCACTCAGAGTTTGTGCTACAAGGACAAACGTGAAAACAGTCATTGTTTACTTGCAGTCCTGAAAAGGCTCCAAGCAGTGTGAAACGCGGCAGGAAGGGATCGCCCCTTTTTGTTCGAGATCAGAAGGAACTCAAGCGCCACCATTTCCAACTTTGGAAGCCATCAAAGAAGCAACGGCGAGGTGCTTTAAGGAGGTCTCCGTCGACGCCTTCCAGGTTGCGTTCAGCGACTGGGAAAAACGCTTGCTCAGGTGTTCCGAGCGGAAGGAAGCACTTTGGATTTAGTTACTTTATATTTATCTGCAATAAATCTTTTTTCTTGGACTTATTCAACTTACTTTTGGGACAGACCTTGTACTACATTGTTCCTCACCCAGAAATTTCTTACTTAATTCATTGATTCTATTCCATAATATATTTGCATAAATCTTTGGATTTGTTGATAGTAATGAGATTCCCCTGTAGTTGTTGCAATCTATCTTAGAGCCCTTTTATGAATATTGATGATTAGTCCTTCCTGCCAATCTGTTGGTATTTTTCGTTTATTACCAAATTTTATTGGAAAGTTCAAGTAGGGTTTCTTTTAGTTTTTTTTCCCCCCATATCATATTAGTTCTAAATTTACCCTCTCTGTTCCAAGTCTTTTTGTCTTTTTGCTTTTCTCAATACTGTTTCAAGTTCTGACATTCTTTTTAGGTTCTGTTTCTTTTTCCTTCCTGTTGACTCAACCTTTCGTGTTTCAAAGTGTTTTTCCTAGTTGTGTTTGATCCAGTCTTCCTGTGGGATGTTCAGCGAGATTGTATATTTTGTATTTTTATTCATATTGCTTACTTTATTGTCTCATAAATCTTCACTTACCCTTTTCAGAGCCCAGGAAATCACTTCCACCTCTTCTGTTGAAATTGAGTGAACGGCCCCCAGAACATCTGGATTATTTGGGTGTTTCTTATGGGCTTACTACCCCTTTATTAAAGTTCTGGAAAAGGGCCAGTTTTGTTCCTGTTTACCTAAGGTTTGTATGAAGAAAACAACTAATTTTTAGAGTAAAATAATATATTATTTTTCCCTTTCTATTGGAATGCTTTTTTGACATTACAAAAAGTTGATTATTTAATTAATTCTGAAGTATAGGACATTTTTTTAAAGTCGGGGCAGATCCAGAGGCAAATTTTGTAAGGGGAAATTCAAGATGTTTTGGTCCATTGTGTCAAATTACAGATTTTGAAAAATATCACAGGCTACACTCAGCTCATGCTGCAATACGATTTTATTAGTTTTAATGATTATCCAAAAATATATTTTCTTTAAAGTTTTGTAAGAGGTTAAAATCAATAGTTACTGAAAAATTTTAGGGGAGAAAATTTCCCTCATTTACCTCCCCTGGATCCATACCTGTTTAAGGGAACACCATTGAGGGTTCCTGAGTAAAATTAAGAAAATTAGTATGAGTTTACCAATGAATGGTTGCTTGTCAGAAATAAGTCAAAACAATTTGAAAGAAAGAAAGGTTCTTGGATTTTCATGAGAATTCAAAACTATTCTTTTCATCATTTCATTAAATTGGTGTTTAAGACATGTTTATTTGTTTGTAAAATGATTGTATGTTGATTAAAATTGTTAATTTTCAAAATTAAAACTTGATAAATTATTTTCTTTTTAATGCTGACAATTTTATTGAATTTAGGCAAACTGCAAATGAGTTGACTGGAGAACATTCATGCATCATGTTGCATGTTCTCCACTCATCAGAAGACAACAATGCAGGATCATGGCTGCAAGATTTTGGGATTGACTTTCGACGAAGATTTATTTCTTTGTTAAGTTACCAGTTTTCGAATTTTACTCCAGCTTTGGCATTAAGTGTATTGCAAAATAAAGCGTGTCGACCAAGTGCTAAAGGTCAGTTACATTTTAGTGTTTTGTAGCGTTTTAGTTGCTTGTACAGTTTAAAAAAAAAATGATTTAATGAATATTAATTTTCAGCTCTAATTCAGCAAGAACTTGATGTACATATGACTAAGTATGATGTGAAACGCCTTGAAATGTATTCTAATAATTTGACAGACTATCATCTGATTGTGGATTTATTGCCTACTCTCTCCCGACTGTACTTTTTAAATCGTTTGGGTGAGGTGGAACTAACTCCAGTTCAGTCGGTATGTATTATTGTTCATTGAAGAGTTTTTTATAAGATGAATGGACTTACTAACAGATTACTAGCTTGTAAAACTAATATTATTATAAAGTAAATAATTAGTAACTAAATCCTTGCAATTAAATGGAAGGAAGAATACTACATAATCACTACACGGAAAATCAAACACCCCAAATATTTTGTGTCAAGTTGATCAGTATTTACTTTCCAAAACTAATGAAATGAGGTAGGTTTACAAATACAGGAATAATACATTTACTATACTTTGTGATCACTGAATACATTTTGAGAAACGTGTTTCTGAAAATGTAATTGAAATGTTTTATATTTACCAAGACCTATGCATATATTAACTAGATCATATATGACCATATGTTGTGAGCTACAGCAGGAAATTATGCTATTCACCTTAACTGAAAAATGTAATGCCTCGTGTATAATTTTCATAATTGAAAGTTGTTTGTAATTTGTTGTTTATGTATCATGTGATTGCTAGACATGGCATTTATGTACTCTCACTAATTAAAAACACTCAATCTTTGAACATAAATAGCAAACTTCACTTTAACTAAATCTCTTACTATCTTGCTCGTATTAGTATGACAATACATCGACAGCTTTCGATAGCTCATGGCAACTCGCAAAACAAACTAATGTAATGAATAAATGACAGTAGATAAGAGTTTGTTCAATTTCAATGTTACATTTCATACAATATTTATTTATTAAGCAAATGTGATTACCGTATATACGAGTGACATTCAATAAGTTATCTACCTCGGTAACTTACATCGTTTTCAAATAATCTTGCACAGTCAGGTTGGGACCTGTCTTGGTATGCTTTGGCATCAGTTACAAATCAGCCTATCTAGCTTGTACTCCAGCTGTCCATGTCGCTTTAGCTGCAATCACAGACAGTGGCACGCTCCTGTAGTCCTCCTCAATTTGGTCACGATATAGACGACTCAGTTCAGAGTAATTTTCTGTCATTGAAATGGGAAAGTATATATAATTGATTTCCTTTGCAGGCCATCCTTATAGGGTTAGGGTGTCAGCATAAAACCATTGAAGTTTTAGCTGCGGAAATTGAGCTGCCAACCAGCCAGGTGCTTTCATTATTTCATCGTACAATAAGAAAATGTGTGCAGTTTTTATTGCGTGTAATGGAGCAAACTATTGAAAATGAGTTTGTGCAGCCCACATCTGAAGCAGTTTTTACTCCAGCTGTAAAAAGTGTTCACCAGGAATTGGAAGAGGCTGCAATGGTATTTACTAATTCTTTTGTGTTCAGTTTTGTGTAGAGTTTGTGTATAGAATTTAAAAAAATATCCAGAATAGATTTAAGAGGTCTGATTTCACAAAATCAGCATATGTGGTTAAAAGAATCACTTTCAAATCTTTTTATTTCTACCATTCAACACACAAAAGAATAACTTTAGGTTTAATGTTACTCTATTGAATTTAATGGAACTTGAGATGATGAAAGCAAAGAAAGCAGAAAGATGCTAATATAAAATCTATTGCCAAATTCAATATTGTATTCACTGTTCTTAAAATCACTATTCATCAGTTGCATTTGCTACATATAATTATTATACATTCCAGGCTATAAGTAAGTTGACAATTGACAATTCTGGAAATGGAAAAAGGTAGCAGATTGAGTTGCCAACTTTATATCAATAGGTGCTGAACTTACCAGTATCAGGCCTAAGGCCATGTTTTTTTTCCATGAATATCTTAGGTATGGCTTCTTTCCTTCAGTTCTTTGAATTGTCATCTGCCAACTTAAAAATCTGTTGCATTCTTATATATTTTTTCTTAATAATATATTTCTATCGCAGGAATTGAAGAAGAAGCAGCAACAGGAGCTTAAACGGCTTAAAAATGAGAATTTGAAACAGTATGCAATAAAAGGGTCTGAAGAAGAGTGGGGCAAAGCTTTGTTATCTGGGAACAAGAAAAAGAACATAATTTCTGTCAAAAGGTACGTTTTCACACCAGCATGTGCATTTTTAATTAGCCCACGTAGTCTTTAACATAGCCTTTTTCCTTTACATGTATAAGTAAATTTAGTACTCCATGGATATTAAGTTGATATATATTAAAGTACGTGTTTTTGACCCACTTATGTAATATAGATGTATTATTTTCCTCTTTCACCTCATGCCTCAGAAAATCATATTCCATAGATCTTTGTGCCTCAAATCTCAAAATTCTTAAACAGGGAGGTCACTTTATGGAAAACGGAAAAAATCAAGGAATTTCATTACTTTGGAAAAGTCAGGGAAAAATCAGGGAATTTGTAGAAGAATCATTAGAAGTCATGGAAAATTTTGATAAGGTTATAAATATAGATATTATTCCTTAAAAATATTAATACATTGTTACAACAACAAACATTTATTTCTTATTTTGTTATTTTGAACTTGTTGTGCCAAAATCAGAGAGCTGACCAATTCGCAACAGGGTAGCCTTAATATTTTCTTTAAGCTGTGTGAAATTACAAATCTTACCAGGAAAAACTGAAAGAAAGACAAAATGCTCTGGAAAGGTGGAAAAAGAAAGGGAAATACTATTTCCAATAAATGGACACCTTTTAAAGTGGTTTACAGTGAATTAAACCCCTGACTTTTTTCCTATTTTCCTGATACTCGTATTCATATGGACATTAGGTTTACAGGGTTCTGCTGGACTATTTCAACTAAATTTTAAAATCTAATTACAGACAACTTTTCAGAACTTGTTGCATAGGAATATTAAACAAGAATCTCAGATATTTAAGTATGATTGAAAGAGTTTGAGACTTATTTTTACTGCATTTAGAAAGTTTTCATTTAAAAAAAGGCAGATTAGCAATGTCATTTGACCTTAAGTCCATGCATTAACTGACTCAATATTGCTGTGTTTAGAGGGTGAGAAAAATAAACTATGTATTACATGTTTTTTTAAATTCCTATTCAGAAAGTTTTTAGAAAATTTTACTTAACTTTTCTAAGTTTTCATTTTTTTATTAACCACCCTATGAAGAAAAAGAATTTTATAAGATGTAAAATAAAAATTGAAATGTAAAGTCATTCAAAAGATTAAAGTTCAATTTATGTGCATTTTTAAATTTCTGAGTCTGTTTAAAATTATTTTTAATATGATCGTGAATTGCAATATTTATTTTATAGGTTTTGAGCCTTTCTTTTCCTGGAAAATTTTTAGTTTTCTTGGGAACCTTGGGAAGTTTTACGAAATAAAATGGCTAACTTTGAGACTAATTTAAATTTATATATTTTGTTGTAGTGGAGAAAGGCAAGATACAGAAGAGATAGAGATCCCTGATGGTCCCCCACAGAAAAAGAAGAAGAAACACAAGAAAAAATAATAGTTTGTATTTAATAATTTTGTAGACAATCCGTACAAAATTGTTGATGTATATACTAGTTCTTAAGATTCGACGAACATATTGCTGAAGCTGTTGGATTTATTAATAAAACAAAATACCTTAAATGTGTTTCTTATTGAATTCTTCTTTTCAGTCAGTTGTAGTAAATTATACATTAATTTAAATTATTCAGTGGAAAAACCATTGTATTATTAACTGTGTACATTGAAACTTTGATTTTACATTTCCCTGAAATTTACGTGATAAATGAGTAGTCCCAGCAAAACATCCATATAAGTAATGTATAATTTTCCTCAATTTTACATTTTGGTCGATTTTGCTTATGACTTGTTATACTGTGTAGTTTCGGGGAAGAGTGATTGGGATACATATAAATGTTATTTGTATCTTGCTGAATGTTCTGAATTGGTTGGTTGAGTAATTTTCCAGAACGAAGCCCACGTTAGAGTGTTTTTCTAGTTAGTTTGTCACGAGTGATAGTCAGTTGCTGGTTTTTACTTTCTCACTACCGCTTATGCAGTAGAGAGAAAATCATGTAATGCTCTAGGGAAAAGCTGTGATATTTTGACCAAAAAAAACTCTTATTACCAGGCCCTGGTAATGAAAAAGTGGATAAATGCTGGTGCTATATTTAGAAAAAAAGTCATCCATCACATGATGTAGCCCAAATCCATGTTTTGAATGTTCTTGAGACCAAAATTCGATTGACAGCCAAGTATCTGTCTGTCTTCCTGTCTATCTGTGCACAACACTAATGGCTAAACCGTTCAGCTGATTTACTCCAAAATTGATATTCCTGTATCAATCTAGTTGGTGTCACAACCCCTTGAATTTGAAGCCAAAATTGTAATTTTTGTGAGTACTTTACATGAGGCCACTGGGACATTTTCTTAATTAATAAAAATGTCGCCATTAATTTTGATTAAATTTTGTTGTTGGATAGTGTGAAGAACGTTTAAGAAAATGGTGCAGGTTTCATGTTCGTAGAAAACTGCTTTTTCGAAAATTGCTTAAGTTCAAACTTTTTCGGCGTCTTCCTACTACTACAATTATGAAGATAGTTTTTTCCCCTTAATAAAATCTGTTCCTTAAAGATTTTAAAATAAGGTCCTGTACCATTTTTCACAAATTTTAGTTCTTTTTTCATACTTTTGTTTGAATGTAGGGTGAGAAAGTACTTGCTGTTTTAACACTAGTTTGTTTTCACTTCTTTTTAATTCAAGTTTTCATGAATTATTTATTATATTTGGATTTACACTGTGTTTGGAACAAAATCTGTTCATCAAAATAACTTCCTCGGTTTTACATTTTACTTGATTTCACACTTGTTTTTACAAGTCCCTAGAGTGGCATAATATAGGGGTTTCACTGTATGTTATGGCTAAAGTCTGAATGGGGTAATTCCTGAATTAGCAGGTTAATGTGGGCGTTATCCAAAATGGGTGAATAAAGTTTGATGATGACTGCTTTGAAGCTGAATGAGGTTGACTTTAGCCAACTCGAAGTGATGAAGACAAGTAACAAGGAATAACAAGTATGTAATAAACAGAAATCGGACTGTTTGTGAGATGTTCCCAAGGCAAGGAGAGATAAGGTGTTAAATTTTGACTTAACAGTGTATTGTAAATTTCTATTTACCTACACAAACAAATCGCTGTTTATAGTAGCTGACACTTTCCTGTGCATTTCCAAGTTGGCAGTGAGACTCTGGCATTTGCCCTTCACAATTTACATAAAACAGTGAGTTTTATATAAACGAGTCTGTGTAACACACACCTTACATCTAACAGGCATATTTTGAGTTTTAGATCTGGTCTGTGTCATTCTGGATATATGTTCTGTGAGAGGCTTACTCTGTTCGTATTTTAATACTATAGTTAATAATATAATAAATAATATAAGATGTATTGTATACCTATTTTACAAAGAAATTAGGGAGTTTATATTTTAAAATTACAGAGAAGCCTGGTGAAGTGGCAGCCTCAATTAAACGGTCACTTCAATGAGGGCCTTTTTTTTCTTGGAACCGGTTAATTTCCTTTGCCTTTATAAAATGGCCCCCTGGTTCAGCAATCAGCAATTGTACACATTTCATTAAAGAACTTGTTTTAGATGGTTACAATTTTCTCTGGATTTTGTTATTTTAAGCCATAACACTAAGAATAGGAAGAGCGATGGCGATTACTGCTCATTCAGTACCTTCCTCTATTGCGGAGCATTATCGAATCGTGTAGAATGGTGATATCTAAAATTGCTAATTTCATGGAAGAACTAATTTCTTTGTAACAATGAATAATTTTCAATTTTTTCCTGAAATTCCCTTGGGATACAATGCACATTCAAGTCAGAATTTATGTGAAGAGATTAAGAATAATGGGAATGAGAAAAGACAACTAGCCTCACCTAATTCTAATTTCCAGCTTCAACCGAGTGGTACATTTGTTCACTGCAAATTGACAAAAAGAGCACAGCGAAATTTACGTGGTCGCGCCTGAGACACACCACCGTAAATGAGTCCATGCTGAATTGAATGTTCCGTTGTCTCGTAGCGTGGAGTGACTGTTTTATCACTTAAAGAACGAAAGGTTATCAGGATCTGATGATTTGGAATGGGCCAGGATATGGAAGCGGTCACCAAGTGCATAAAGATTGAAGAAAGTTGCATGCTCTCTGTGACGCACTGTGCAAACGAATAGAAGATCGGGGACCAGATGTGTCGAAGAAGCTAAGAGGTATTTCAGTTTTAGCACTACGCTGACCAAGGAGTGCCAGAGGTAGAGTTTCGAACCATGAAATGGTGTGACATTCTGACACATCGGCGTCCTCTGGGGCATTACCCGCCATACCTTGGTAAAGCGCGCTTCTGGCCCACTGTGTGCCATATAGTTGAGGTAATGCGCCTCAGGGCTCCATTGGCGCCCTTGGTTGGAATCGCATTCCGCGGACACCCGAAGTGGGCGATACAGCCACGTTTAAGGCTCGGGAGACATTCTCGGCGATTTCGTCTTCGGCAGGGATCATTTCGGGCCGATTCAGACAGATCTGATGAGGTCCACGTGAATGTGAAGAATCGGGATTGTGGTATTTCAAAAGATCCGAGCGTTGCCTATGCATGCCGAGAAACTTTGTAATGAAGGGAACAATTCTCACCCCATGCTCTGCAGTCCTTATTTACGGACTGTCAGATGAAATCTGGTCTAGGTCTCGGATGGATCGAAAACTGGGGTAGCTGAGTCCAGATTGAGTCGAACACACGACGTCTCGAAAGAAGATGCATTCATCTGGTACACGGGAATACGCGAGGATTCGTCGCTGTGGGGATATGGCATGGGCCGGAATGACGGACCATCGGCAACCACGTCGGCGCCAGTCACACGGTGAATACCATTGGAGATCTTCGATATGAAATTCAGCTGCAAGGGAGGATAATTTTTATGCGGCTATAGGAATGCAAAATCCAATGGTCGCGGATCCATCAAGAAACGAATGTATTTTATTCCTTTGTATACATCAATGTCTTCCTTGTAAAATGGCTGCCAAGATCGCCGTATTTGTTCAGCCCTTTCGAGAAGAAACCTAGTGTCTACCACCCACTATTCACCTCTTGCTGGTAAACGGCCATCAGCGCTGGATGACTTAACCGTGAAAATAGCAAGAGAATCCTGCGCTACCGGATGTACAGAGAGCGCCGCCTGGGCCAGACTCGCCCGACTCTCTTCCAGCGCTTTCCTCCGGGAAAGAAGAGGCTTCTAGTACGTCTTCAATGTACGTGAAGCAGAAGTACAATGCCTCACAATCTCATCGATGAACCGCTGCAAATATATTTGGATATTTGCCAAGCACGGGATTAGATTGCAGCAGCGTCCAATAATCTAAAAGATTTTAAAGTTTCGTCGAGTTTTGCGAGAAACGTAAAAAACGAAACGTCATTTCGAGTAACTGTGCGAAGATAAACGTTCATCTGACAGCGAAAACAATTTAAAGGTAATATTTACTTCGCTTGTTTAGATATTTTGATTAGTCAGCTGAGCCATCAATTTATTGGCGTGAATCAAATAATCGATTCGTTTGCGATCTTTCAGCTACAAACTGAGTTGCAGCTTTCAGACGAAGAACGTGCGAATCAATGCGAACAATGCGAGACATACTATGACGACGTCACTGATCAACTGTTCACCCAGCTACTATCCTGATCTAAGAGATCGAATTTCGAAGATTCATTTAATCAGAGAGTTGGCTAACATGGTTCTTGTCGAGTACTTCACTCTTTCAGCTACCTCTCGAGGCGCCTGCTCAATAATCTTGCTGTTAAGAAAGATTCCTGTGACGGATGCTACTGCGGGGCGAAAGTAACGAACTCGTTAAAAGCGTACCTGGACAACGTTATAGATAAGTTCGTCCGCAGGGCTCGATTCTGAATTTTGTTATTGAATTATTTATACAATTCCCAAGTAATTCCTTTCAAATAGCTTTCAGAAAGCTTTTTTTTGGACAAAATTTTTTTAGGGGGCCCCAATTTAGTTTTTGGACCGGGGGCTCTGGAAGGGCTAGTTACGCCACTGAGTAGAACATCATCTCTCTTCACTCCTGGCCACAACAGATTCATTGCTAACGCAAGGTAACAGCGATTGTTGAGTGGTTAGTTCTGTCCAATGTTTCATACGAAATGGTAATTATCTCCTGCTCGGTCTCCCTTTAAAACACTAAAGACAACGTTTGAATTAATTGTGAAAAATCTCTTTGAGACGACTGCAAGGAAATAAGCGAAAATGGAATCAAAATTATAAAAACATGACGAAAATTCATATGCCCGTATTTTCACGCAAAAACTATTAAAATTTTCGAAAATTGTACATGACCTTATTTCAAAGTCTATCTTTAAGGAACAGATTGCATTAAGGGAAAAAAATCTCTATCTTCATAATTGTAGTCACACTATTGAACAACAAAATTTAATAAAAAACGATGGGGTCATTTTTTAAAATTTTTAAAAATGTTCCAGGGGCTTCATATAAACCTCCTTAAATTGAAATTTTGGTTTCAAATCCAAGGGACCGCGACGTCAGCCAGATCGAATGGGAAATTCCGCTGGATCCCGCCAGATCGAATGGGAAATTTTGGAGAAAATCGGCTGAACGGTTTAGCCGCTAACGTTGTTCACAGACTGATGGACAGACAGACGTTTTGCCGTCTATCAATTTTTCGGTATCACAGAGCCCAAAAATGGGTTTGGGCTACACCACGTGTTAGATTATTCTTTTTTCTAAATTTAGCAACTGAATTTATGAACCAGAGCCCTGTAATAAAAGGATTTTCCACCGAAAATTCGCCGTGTTTTCTCCCAGCGTTACATAACTTTCTCTCTACTACCTAAGCGGTAGCGAGAAAGTAAAAATGGTTTTCAGCGGCCACTATGATCCGTCGTCCTCCATGACTTCCCATTTTGATTTTCTGTCATGAAAATATTTTGATATTAAGCTATAATTTGACATCCAGACAACAGCAATGTGTTCCAACGACACAATTGCCGGTAGCTGTATTAAATTGAACCTCATCATCTTCAAAACTCAATTATGGACAAACCGAAAAGTAAACAAAAACAAAAAGAAAGAAAAGAAACGAATTACACACAATTGTTTTAGAACGAGGAGAGACAGCGAGTGAACCATAGAGGAGAGATATATCTCTACTCTATAGAGTAAACTCCACAGTTGGTATTGTACGTATTTTGGAAGTAGTGGGGGTAATTATTGAACAAGTGAATGCCGCAATCCGTTCATAACAATCACATAGCTAGAACACTGTTCTGGTTATTGTTATGAAATGATCCAATGAATATCTTTGGAAATTTCCAAGAATATATCAAGAAAATACCGATTATCCTACATTTACCTATTGAAAAAATCATAAAAATAAATGAATAATTTATTGCAGAAGTAAACATACTTTAAACAGTAACACGGGCAAAAGAGAAGTTTACATGTTATATACTTTATACGATATACGACTTATTCATATTTTTAAGATGCAATATTCTTTTACAAAATGTTTTATATATCTATTTCAATGACACATAACAAGGTGATAATGGTTTTGGTACTTGGCTGCATTTAAACTTCCCGCTAATGTTGTGACGCATAGTGGTGCATGACGCTCATTGGGTATAGCTGGATAGGCTGTGCAAAGCACACTCACGCTATAATGTATAAGGATATTTTATAAGAGATTTCTTGTAACGTACACCTTCAATAATGACTTACACCGTGACCTTCAGATTCTGAGCAGAGAGGATCAGAACAGAACGTGTTGTCTGTAGTGGTGTAGTTTGATATGTGGGGTTTGCGGTATGGGTGAAGGAAGCATGCATTGGCCCGGTCTTGTCAGATAACTGTGCACTCGTGTCAAACACCGAAAGAAAATAAATCCTGAAAGAAAATTGCTTAAATTTTGGGAAATAAAGCATATCTATTTTTGTCGTTTAGAAAATATGTAATTATATTGTTTTCATCCAATACGCATCAGTGGAGTGTCATTTACTGTATTCATTAATGATAATGAATGTGCGATAGTGGACTGACACATATGAATATAAGAATTTTTTAAATGTCAACTGAATTTAATCCATTAGAAGTTTACTTCTTTCTTTTGGGATAACTTTTTGTTTTATCTTATTTTGTAAAGTAAGTTTGGTTAATATTAAAATTATTTTTACAATTCTTTTGACAATTATTGTGATTTATATGTATTTGTAATGTAGCATAACAGTGTAACCTGCAGATCATCTGTAAAGTAAGATGACCTCACTACGCCGCACATTAGAGAAAGATTTGTTCCAGCCAAATGATGAACATGTCCTCACCATGGTACATGTCAGTAAATTGCTTAAAAAGAAGAAAACCAGCTTCTTGTGCATAGTAGTTAATAATGAAAAACCGATAAGTGTTACTATTCATCAGGTAGGTTATTATTATTGCCTCATATTTAAAATTTGAGTTTTATGCCAGCACTATCATGAAACAAATCTTTTCAATTTTAGTATAGCTGAACTTGCAATACCTTTCATTTCTTTGTGACATACATGTATCTAAAATTGCTTGACGTGATCAAAATTGGGAAGAAAAACAAATTATGGTAAATATAATAGAAAATGATTGTGGTTGCAAGAATCAAAATTATAAATAAATTGTTGAAGTTAATATTTAAGATTTCTTTCATAGACCTTTTTTGTAAGTATATTCATATTTGATATGTCCAGCTGAGCATTCTTTTGGAAAATAAATTCATGAACAAATTCAATATATTTTGATTCTTTAAGTATGTAAAATTCTGTTGGCCTGTGTTATTCTGACATTTCACATCAAGACTTATATTTTAAAAACTTTTCCCTCTATGCTAAATATAAAAAAACATCTCATCCATTGCAATAAAGGATGGATAACATTTTCATAATACCTTGAAAAAAAAATGGATCTTGTAAAAAAAATGGTCTATGATATAAACATATTTCTCAGTTGAATTTTAATTATTTTATTGAATTACAGATTCATATTATTGGAAACTTGGGCAAGCTATATTAGTAATTAATAGTAATTTTCTCATTATGGCACAGTTGTTTTTATTTATTAATTTTTTCAATCAGGTGAAAGGCGAAAAGAATTTATACAAGAAGAAACGAAGTTGGCAACTCAATGAATTAAAATCAGTGGATGTCATAAAGGATGTGGTATGAAATATACTTTATTAATTTGCAAAATATTTTTATTGTAACATTAATACTTTGTTAAAGGTTCCAATTCCTGGTTGAAAAGTATTTTTAATTCTAATTGACATTGTAAATCTGAGTATTGTAATAGTCATTTTATTTATTGAAGCAGATATTATGCCCAAACATGAAACTCAACTTTTTGAATTTAACATTTGCAAAAAAGGTTTAACAGATGGTATAATATTTGACATTGACACATTTCGCCCAAATTTTTCATCCAGCTTCCCTTGATTCATACTGCAATGGAGCAAATGTTACAATGGCCCCTTCTTTTGCTACTGGACATAAATTTAATCACTATCTGTGCACATTTGTGTGAGTTTTGCAAAGTGATTATAGTATGATTATACATATCCTGACTTGTCAAACGTGGGGTATGCTGTATTTATGTGACAATTAAAATATTATTAATATTATTATTATTATTATTATTATACTGTTAGTGGGGAGTAAATGAACATTAACCATGTTATCATGGTTGTTAGCAGTGCTTCATTTATAAAATTTTAGGTCCCGGAACATGCCCCAAATTAATTATTAATGTAATAGAAACAGTTATATATTTATAGTCTAATTAACAATATTAGAATAGGATAGAGATATTTGAGTTCTTGAAAATGTGTTCTTATTGAACTCTTGTGTGTCACATAGCTTTCAACTACGTAATAAAAAAATTATTTTATTAATGTTTTTTTAGTACATAAATAAATTTTAATATTGTAAATAAATTAATTTAAATAAAAAAATAGAATTATGTATGTAGTTTCTTGTATAAACAAATAGTGGACATCTCCAAAATTTTTGTTCTTCCTTGATTGTTAATGTTTTTTATTAATCTATAAAGTAATGTCTCTTTTTCAGGAAACACACGATTTTGATCTACAATTTGATAAAGTGTACAAGTGGTTTGCTTTCAATCTTCAAGAAAGGCAAAATTTTATCATTACGTTATGGGAGGTAAGATTATTATTGAATGTTAATTGTCACATTTTTTGTTTTTGAAACTTTTCAGTGCTGGTTATCGTTCTTTTAGTTCACTTGAGTTTATACAGGGTTGTTCGTCTTCTTCTTGATAATATACAAGTTACAGTTCTCCACTATCCATCCATAAGTTCTTATAGTTTGTAAACAATTCTTCTTCATTTATGATGAAAATTTGAGTGATATCTCTTTCTGCTTTATTTAATATTTCATTATTTTATAGGCTATGTTGTGTGCACCATACACATGTTGATTGCCCGAGAAGTAATTATTTCAACTTTCTTTTTTTATTTTGCTTATTTCTCTATTCATGATAGCTTTCTTTTATACTCTAACCTATCTTCTAATGTATTAGAATAAATATTTTAAGTAAGCTTTCATAACATTTACAAGATTTTGTATTTCCATTTCTTGAGCTTTTTTCTATTATTTGTGTATTTGCATCTTCTACCTAATGTTTCTGACACTATTTGACCCCTAGCTCCCTTGTCACTTTGTCATTGGGTGTCAACGACTCTACTTAAGGTTATTCTTGAATTTTTAGAGACATGAGGAATATTATTTCCATATTCTTTCCTATTTCAGCTAATGCGTTTTATGGGAGCTCTTTGGTTCTTCCTTATTTTTTTGCTTCTTATGTGACATTCTTTCAGGGATTTCAAAAATTGATTTCACCAGATAGTGATCTGTCCCTATTTCTGGGCCCTTATTGGCTCAGAATCATGAATTTTTTTGACGAGACAAGCTTGTTGTTAGCAATGACATATGTCAGAAATAGAGTGGAACTTTCTTCCTCTTCAAGTAAATTTGTGAATATCTTTGTGACAGTAATAAGTATTAGTTGTTCTCAAGTTGTTGAAGGTGGAAAAATTTCTGATTCCTTGCCCATTTTTATTAAGTATCATTTTTCCTTGATTTTCTACAATATTGCTAATTGGAATATTTCCAACTCATGCAATAAGATACCCTCAGATAGTTATCAAGTCATTTCTGTTATCATATTCAAATATTTCTGTAAGGTTTTATAAAATTTTCTTATTCTTCTCTCTTTTTTTTTCAGGTTACACCCACTTAGCTCTGTTTGATATTCTCTTTTAAACTTTAATTGCAATATTATAATATGACATTAACAAAGTTGTAACTTCTTACACTGTTCCTTCATCAATTAAACAATACAATTGCTAAACAGATGAAGTCCTCAATGATATAACATTATTTGATGATACCAGAGTATCACATTATATGGTGATTTAAGTTAGTAGTTCCTTTCAGTTTTTTTCTTTGTTTTGAGGACAGTTGTATTGATGTACATGTTCTTCAGCTTTTGCTGAACCAGGATTCTCCCTTTTTTGTTAACTTCATACATTTCAGGTAACTAGACTAAATGTTGCTGTTATTCCAAGTTGTTAAATCCTTTCAATGGTTTGGTTGCCAGTGAATCTTGCCTGCCATCTTCTTGGTGATTGAAGCAGTAGTGTCTTCCTCTGGACTCATTATTGTCGGTGTGCAGAACAAGTGCTATGGTGGGGTTGCCACCTTAGGATAATGGGACAAGCCCTTCTATGTACTAACCTCGAGAAAAGGATTGCTTCTCCTCTTTGCCCCTGCTTTGTCGCTGCTGCTCCGATCATTGAAGTATTCACACATATCTTTGTAAAAAAGACCTCAGTAAAACCCAACATACTGGACATTTTCGGAGGCGCTCTATGCAATGTCAAAGGTCTTTTTCCCCAAAAGTACCATCCTGGTCCTCTTCTGAAGCACTTCTTCGTCTGATGCCTCCCCTTTGAGCAGACCAGTAAGGAATGCCCTACCAGTAGCGACTCAACGCTGGGATACCTCTTAAAATCACAGGAATACTCAAACGTCTACACCTGTAATGAGAAAGTTTTTTTTCTTAAGATCATATTTCACTTTAAATATTACTGAAGGTTATAAACCACTGTTGTATTGCACAATGGTTGCCTTCAGACTGAAGAAGAGAATGCCTGGAATGTAGAAGACTGCCAACAGCTAATTGCCCAGCTGATATTAAGTGTGTCCTGATTAGTATTGTTTGTTTCTTCTTTTGCAAACCCTTGCAGATGAAAAGTCAGACTGGCATTATCACAGAAAAGTATTAGGAGCAAAGAAAACTGAAGGAATGTCTTTTCTTGTTATTTTTTAAGGGATACAGAGACTCTCGGTCTGCACCAATATAGTTTAGTTATTGCCAAGGGCACATATTGCAGTGGGTTAAATAACTCATTGAATCATCATCATCAGCATTGTCATCATCAGCATCATTGTCATTATACACAGCAGGTTGCTTGTGTGTCATGTGTTTCTCATGCCTAACATGCCTGATGAGTTTTTCGTCCTCCAAGTGTTATAGTGAATTATTTTCTAACACTATTTTTCAGAAATTTTAAGTTTAGTAATCGATTATTCATTTTATTGTCTCATAAAAAGAGTTTTCTTGTGGCTTGATATGTTATTTTGTGATGCTCTAAATTTTACTACTATGTTTTTGTATTTATTCCTGAGAAATGTGGAGTAGCAACATTATGAATATGTGTTGAATGATGTGAAGTTAAATTTGAATGTTCAAATAATGTCATTTCTAATGAAGTTTTGATTTATACATCTAGCAATGCCAAAAACATCTTCCAAAGCAAAAACCTCCTTTTCAAAACATGCCAGAAGAATGGAAAACAGATTCGAATCATCTGATCCAGAATGAAGTGACAGTTGCCCCTGGTATGACTTTTATTTTAGAAATCTGATGATGAAGATGATAATGGCAGTTCACTTTTACATTTAAAAAAATGATTTCTAGGCTTTTTAGAAACTGTTGAAATGGAAGATTATTTAGCTCTAACTGACCGAGAAGAACAAGATTTAGAGAAATTGATGGGACAGTGTGAATTTGCTGTCAGCAATGCTGAAGCATTCATGGAAGCGCTGGCCAGAGATTTATCTGTTTTAGATGGTGTAGGTATTATATATTCCTAGCTTCTAGCATAAATACATTTTAGCCATTCTGATGTTGGTTTCATGAATCCCTATTAATGCATTCAATATTAATCAAAGGCCCTATTATATGTGGTTCAGTTATTTCTGATAGAAGGGAACATTTGTATTCAAGAGACCAAATCTGCCTTAACACCTCCATAACCTTATATATATGTGTGTGTGTGGGTGAGCCTGTGCATGGGTGTGTACCAGAGCAATGAACTCAGACACCGTGTGACTGATCTCTGTGAAAGTTGGCATATTACATGTTTTTTCAAGGAGAAGTTTTTTATGCTGTTCATTTTGGTGTAACGTCACTAGATGGCACTGCAGCACAAGATAGCACTTCAGTTAAATGCAATTCTCGATACACCTGGACCTCATGGATGTTGCCATGTAACGCGGAGCAAGGATGAGAAGGACAGGAGGAACGGGCAGCTAGGGATGGAGAGTTGAGAAAGGAGAGAGAGAGAGAGAGTAGGAATCAGAGGGGAAAAAGAGAGAGTGAGGAAAAAACAGAGAAAGGGAACAAGAGAGAAAAAGAGAGAGCAGGACGTCTGCCGGTGTCTGCTAGAGAGAGGGAAAGAAATAGTGGAAAAGGGAGAGAGAGGGAAGAGGGAAAAAGAGAAGGAAAAAGACAGAGAGAGAAATAGGAGGATGTTTGCTGGGTTCTGCTAGTGTAAAGTAAATTTTGAATTCTTGCTGTGACCAGTGTTTTTGTATGTACGGAAAGTTTTTGGATTATCATTCATACAAAAGAACCAAGAAGTTTAGTTACTTTCCAGAGAAAAATAATAATAATAAGTTTTGCTCTTGAATCTTTTTCAAATCTCATAATATTCAATAAGTTGATATCAGTTTTGAATTTTATATTAATTTACAATTCTTAAGTTTTTTCATACGTTCTGGTATCAAAATTAGCTAGATCTGTTATCTTAGATTGGTTACTGAGAAGTTTTTCTTGGTACTGCAACAGATAATTCAGTGGCCAAAACTATTAATAATCATCGATAAAAAATAATTTATGACTGGACAGTTTTGTTACATTCTGTATTTTAAGATTTTTAATGTGATAATGTAAGTGCTGCTGTGTATTGTGTATGTTGTGTGCATTAATGACTTTTCATTTAGATGCATGTTCCATCATCTTATTTTGATTCAGTCCTCCTTTTTATCTAGAAATATCCCAACTGTGAAAGAGTACAGTACCAACAAGACACCCCCAGACATACACGTAAGAAACATCCCCTCGATATCCTGCAACTCCCCCCTCCCATTACCTAGGCCTCCTCCCCGACTCCCAATCCCGTCCCTGTACGGGGGAGAGGAGTCGCAACTTAAGA